GTAACTGTTGTCCATTCATATTTGGATTAGCTGCATGGTGCTCTAGCAAGGTACGCTTCTGCTCTATTGTGAGCCGCTGCCGTGTGGCCTGCGATGGCATCTCACCAAGTGTTTTGGCTGTGAACATGTGTTGCATCAACTTTGCTTTGAATATTCTGCTCCAGGACTATCTGTTTTTTGAGGGATATAAATTTATGGTGGGTCTCCTATTGCGGGGGAATACTGTAGATGAATTTCAGTCAGTCAATAGCAGTTTTTTTGAGTCTGCTCTGCAATTGGTCAAAAGGAATAGTATTTCAGACTTGGTATAGAAGTATACAGGTAGCAGAAGTCTTAGAATCAGATCATGTTTTGGAGGTGGTCGATTTTTAAGGGTGTTGTTGTGAGTCAGCGCCTTGTTTGTCTGCAAGGCGTCCTTCCGGGAAGCAATGAAAAATCCAAACTGAGTTACTTCTCATTACCTTCTTGTCAGTTCACTTCGTCCCCCTCAATACAGTAGCATCTTGCCAGGACGCCCAGACTCCAGGACGACGAGACCCCGGATGGATATCTTTACAGATCGTCCCGGGCTAGGTCGTCCCGTAGCGATTGATCCAGCAAACGACCTCAGCGAGGTTGATCTGGACTCGGGGCGAACTCGACCAGAGCACTTCCCCCTACAAAGGGTGACCAAGGGTCAGTTCCAACGCCTCCCACATAACCTGCACCGCCTCTTCATCTTCGTGGGACAACACCCACTTGCGCAGCAGTACGGGAACATCTTCCTAGAGATTGAGGGCTGGCTCCCACGACGCCTCTTCGTTCTCAAGGCTGAGCCACTTGACCAGGATTGTGTGCTGCCCGTTGACAACAGGTGCTGCCAGCAAGTCTTCCACATGGAAACCACCATCGCCGTAGGCAGCTTGGTCCATTAAGTCTTCAGCCGTGCCGTTCGCTGCTTCGCTGTACAGCTTCAGACTGCAGGCGTGGTGCACAGATTCTGATCTGGGTGATTAAAAACATTGAAAGGGGGCGCCAGCTGTTCGATCGCCATCACATAATCGGTGATAACTCGCGTGATTCTTGAGGGACCACGCCACGCCAGGGCTAACTTGTTCGGGTGTCGTACGACCGACCCGACTAGGACGTAATCGCCAACGTCAACGTTAGTCCACTTGACGCCTTGTTTCTTCGCCTGGCCACGTAGCTTCTCGCTACGGCCCGACACATCACGGAGCATCTCGTCTAGCAACGTTCGCAGGTCTTGAGCGTGGTTGATCCGGGACTTTCGAGCCAATCACGTCCCGGACTTCCTTGGTCGTGGGATGGACAATCCCGGACAACGGTGTGGTTGCGTCGAATCCACCAAACGCCATCGCAGGAGCAAGGCCACCAAGCCGATTCGATGGCTGGTGGTTGAGGGCACCTTGGACGAGGGGTAGCACGTTTGGCCACTACGTATCTGGCAGTCGCCACTCACTCAGCTAGGTCTTCATGGTCTGTAACTGCATCTTGTTCACGACTTCGACGGATTCATTTGCCCATGGACTGTACGCCGACTCACTTGTGCACCTTCTCGATCACTTCATTCTTGAAACGGACCCACCGTCGGACACCCATGTCGTGACTATCCCAAACGTCGTGAACCAGTCCATCAGGGCGGCAGCCGTTGCCGTGGCGTCAGCAGTCCGGGACGGAAACAACCGGACGAAGCCGCTCAAGTCATCCTTGACTACGAGCACGTGCTTCAAGCCCTCGTCTGACTTGGGCAGAGACAACCAGTCAACATGGATGAGCTCGTTGGGACACTCAGCGTGCAGAGCAGATCCCAGGGGGCGGGGCACCATGTCCCATCCACATAAATGCAATGGAGACACCCCTTGACAAAGTCGGCCACGTCAGCCTAGAGCGTGGACCACTCGAACTTTGCCGCAACAGATTGCGTCGTCGCCACTCGACGGTGCTCAGCTGCTCCTTGGTGGACAATCACACTGAACCACTTTTCGAGATCCAGGTCGTGGTACGGGACCCAAATCTCGTCGTTCGGCGTGACATAAAACTTCATGTCGTCGTTCCAGGTAGTTGGCCGTCGACTCGGAGTCGATTCTTCTGAGATTTGAGGACCGACTGGGCCGTCGGTCATTCGAAATCCTTGTGGCGTAGGAGTGAAACTAACGCCACCAGACGTCGCACACGTGCCACCGCTGGCGTCGCACCCCAGCGACTAAGTAGGTCACCCCACATGTTGTCTTCACCCTACACCGACTCAATGGTGCACGGGAAGGTGGACATCGACACCACCAACGCCCAGCGCTGGAGCTTGTCGGATTGGTACTTCGCCATATTGGGGCTCTGACCGGGCGGGGTGAAGATGTACACGGGATTCCGGTGGTCCGTGAACAGACGGAACCCATCGGGATGGATCACCAGGTAGTCGAGGCATTTGCAAGCCTCGACCACAGCGAACGCCTCCTTTACACAATAGGCCAACGCGAACTTGACGACACAAACGAGCCGCTCAGAAACGCCAAGGGCTCGTGGCGCTTCTCGGACAGAGACACCTCGAGGTCTTCAGGTAGGACCTGGGTAGCAACCGTTCCACAGAATCCTTCGCTTGCGTCGGTGAATAGACACACGGCCATGTCTTGTCGGGGGTGACTAGCGGGACAATGCTGGTCAGGGCCTTCTTGACAGCCTCAAAGCACGTCGTGGCTCGGCAGCCCACCCCATGGCACTAACCGGGATCTTGGCCAGCGCAGATTTCTTGGCACTCCGGGATAGTTTTGTGCCAACTTCGAGGAGTCGCCGCAATGGGTCGATCAGTTGGCTGTGGGATGCTCGACCGCATCCAGTTGGTCGCACATATGAACTGCTGGAAGTCGGCAGCCGCCGTCGGCTCTGCCAAATCGCACAACCCTTGAACCCTGGAAGGGGAGTGGGTCACCCCAACAGACGAGATGACCTTGCCACACCATTCGGCCTCCTGGAGGAAAAACGCGCATTTCTTCGGGTGCAACTTCAACTCCAAGGACGCGCAGATCTCCAGGACATGTTCCAGCAGTCGAACAGACTCATTGGGCGTGGTCGCGGCGCCAAGCAGATCGTCCAGCCAGGCGAGTAAACCACGAAAGAGGAGCTCGCCGAACATTTGATGGGGAGCAGATTGGCAGAAAGAAACGGCTTCCGTCTGTCCTATCAACACACGCGTTGGCGTAAACACGCCCCAGGGTTTCATGAACGAGTACAGCTCCTGGCTGGCCGGATGCAACGGCAGCTGCTAGTACCCCCGTTCGTCCAGTCCAGGGTAAAATGGACAGACGTGCCAACCAGGACCACCATGGCAGTGTCGAGGTTGGGCATCGGCTATGGCATAGGCACCGCTCAGGCGTTGATCGGACAACTGTCGATAGACATCCGCAGTTCGCCTGGGCCCATTTTTGGCACATTCCGGGGCGCCGCTGCCCACGTCGCCCAGTTGTTTCGGTAGACTAGTCCGGCATCTTCGAACTTGTCGACATATCGCTGAGAAACTCCACGTGGTCGTGTGGATAGCGACCCATCGAGCTCATCACCGGGACTGCTCTGGCTTCAAGCGAACCTTGAGGGGCTCCACCTTCATCGGGGGTCGTTCCCGACATCTGTTCGAAACGCGTCCACAAACTTGGCCAGTAGTTGTTTCAAGCGCACGACTTCTTCGCTGTGTAGACCGAGAATTCGAGCGTCTTCGACCTTCGCCGCCAGAGTAGGCTTCACCTCGACCTCGCGACGTCGATGGCCGTTATCCTTGCTCTCGCTTGGCAACATGTCTAGCTCAGGGGAGAGCACTCCATCCCGGCCTCGGGGTAATCGTCCGGGATAATACGACGGTACGCGGACACCCGATTCACAGCGACTTCAGCAGACGACAAGAACTCGCTGTCGGACATATCCCATTCGAGTTGAGAGACCGCGCCTTCACGAGCAGCGCGTCCGTAGAGAATCCCAAGGACTCCATCACAGGACGGCTGATAATCAGCGCCACGTCGGCGTCCACGTCGTCGTCGATCCACACGCCATCATGAGCGCCACACTGAGCCGTAAGTGACGGGACAGCAAGACCGCCTTGGTCTCCTTCCCGAACAGGTACAGGGCGGTAGGTGTGTCGTCCACCACCACCTGAGTCGCCACGCCCGCCTTCTCCAGCTCCGTAATCAACCCCACGGAGGCCACGTTGACGTTGGCACCCGTGGCAAACAGCAGGTACTCTACCACGACAACGTCGGCCACGGTGGTACCGCCTTCAATCTTCGAGCGGTTTGGACCAAGGTCAATAACGTTAACAGTCAGACGCGCCTCGCGGGCGTCCTTCCACTTTTGCATCTGCGCCGCTAGCAGCGCTTGCGCTTCGCCAGGCGCCGTCTTCGGACAGTCCGTGACCTTGTGAGCCATAGACTTGCACTTGAGACACGCAGCAGGCTTCCGCGCAGGGGCAGACGGTGTGTC